GATTCTAAGATATCATAGTCCTCATCCTCGTAATCAAGCTCATCTTCCAGTGGACCTTTTTTTCTTTTTTGTTCTTTGATGTACCAGGTGCGGCTTTTTTTCTCTTAAGGTAAAGACTTTTTGTTTTTTTTTCGTGTGCCAAGTTTATATAAATATGATATACAGGGGAAATAAATTCAAGTAATTGTTGCAGATTTGGCCACTTTAAATTTTTTATTTTATTTCCTTCTGGGTAAAGTTCTGTTAAAGACAATTTTGCTGGTCTACCAGGAAAAATTATTTTACAATTTTTAGATCAAGAAAATAATAGGCACTTTGGTTTTGGAAATAAACGCATGTCAACTTCTGTTCAGTGTTTTTTCTCCCGCTCATAGATGAAACCAAAATCAGAATAATCATTTAGGTTGTTTTTGAAACAAATAAAACAAAATTTCTACCATCCGGTAAGATGCTTAGGATGCTTATACCTAAACTTGGGCGGTTTCAGCTCTAACCCCTTCAATTATTGTGGTGACCACTAATTGTTGGTAGAAGGTGTCACTCACGAACTGTCATAATTAAATGCTGACGATTTATAAAATTGCTTAATATTATATAAATAAATAAGTATAATGTTAATAAACTTATAGTTATATAAAGTGTCATTACTTCAATCCAAGTATACAATAGTTGGCGACGAGGATATAAGGCGATTCTTAGGCCTTGTAACTTATTATTCAAGATTTGTGCCCAATTTCTCAACTATGTCTTACCCTCTCCGGTGTCTGTTAAGAAAAAGTCAACGTTTTGCATGGACAGCTGATTGTGAAGCAGCTTTTCTTAAACTCAAGGTAGAACTTTGTAGCGATCGTGTACTTATACCATTTGATCCAGCATTACCTCTTCTTCTTACTACGGATGCTAGTCCAACGGGGATTGCAGCCGTTCTTAGTCATTCCGTCCTAGGAAGTGAGAGGCCCATTGCTTACGCCTCCAGATCTCTAACTATTTCCGAAAGTAATTATAGCCAGCTTGATAGAGAGGCTCTTGCTATCATTTTTGGGGTAACACATTTCTATAATTATTTATACGGAAAACAATTCGAGCTCGTCACAGATAATGAACCATTATCCAGAATTTTTCATTCAAATAAGGCGCTTCCTCAAATGACATCTTCCCGTTTGCTTAGATATGCATCATTTCTGTCAGGTTTTGATTATATAGTAAAGTGCAAAAAGGGAAAAGAAAATCAAAATGTCGATTGTCTTTCAAGAGCTCCACTACAACAGTCCACTATGTCAAGTGACCAATTCATTGGGGAAGAAATTAAACAATTATATGAACATACTATTTTTCAAATATCCGGTGAAACAATTACATACAAAACCATTAAAGAAGAAACCCGAAAAGATCCAGACCTAAACAAAATTCTTTAAGAAATTCAATTCAAGCAATAGTGAATATTCTCTAATGGATGGTATTCTTTTTCGTCAAGACAGAATCCTAATACCATTCAACTTACGTTCAAAAATTCTGGAAGAGCTTCATGAAACTCACTTCGGTATAACTAAGATGAAACAGCTTGCTCGACGATATGTCTATTGGCCTAATATCGATAAAAATATAGAACATCTGGTTAAAGGTTGTGAAAGCTGTGCTCTAACAAGAACAAACCCTCCTAAAGTCTTGATTCATCCATGGGACCAACCACAGAAAAACTGGGAAAGAATACATATTGACTATGTCGGTCCATTTCAAAATAGAAATTTCCTGGTCGTGGTAGATGCAAAATCAAAATGGGCAGAAATCAAAGTCATAAAAGATTCACCCACAAGTTCCTCAACAATTACACTTTTAGAAAATATTTTTGCTACACATGGATACCCAAATGTCATGGTTTAAGACAACGCAACAATTTTTCAAAGTGAAGAGTTTCGAAAGTACTGTAATGCCAAAGGAATTTTTCAAAAATTCATAGCTCCAGGACATCCAGCAACAAACGGTCTTGCCAGCGAAATGTACAAACCTTAAAGCAAAGGCTTAAAGCTGCTGCCTATGAACAAAATCCAATCCAAGAAAAGGTAAAGAATATTATTTTCCGATATAGAGCGACGCCTCTAGCTTGTGGAAGTTCTCCAGCAGAACTGTATCTCCATCGAAAACTTTTAGAATTCGTTTAGATGCCATTTTTCCGTACAAACCTGAACCGTCACGGATTTCCGCAGAAGTCTGCCGTTTTTTTCAAGTGGGGGAGAGGATCCAGGTGAGGTTGTTTGTTAATAATCGTCACATATGGCAATTTGGTGAAGTCAAGAAAAGATTTGGTTCCCGACATTATTTAGTCACGTTAGATTCCGGAAGAACTTTAAAACGTCATGTTAATCAATTAAGACCGACGTTAGTCAAATCAAGAAACCAAGTAACTCATGGTCCATGTCAGTCCTTCGATATCCCAAGGATGACTGAGCCAATAATTGTCCAGGCTCCAGATCCAGTGGACGCAGCAGTTCATGCCAACCCAGTGCCGGCTCCAGATCCACCACAACAGACGAAGACCGCTGCGTTTTGAGGACTATGTGGTAACTTCTGACTAAGTGGGGGAGAAACTGTGGTGACCACTAATTGTTGGTAGAAGGTGTCACTCCTCACGAACTGTCATAATTAAATGCTGACGATTTATAAAATTGCTTAATATTATATAAGTAAATAAGTATAATGTTAATAAACTTATAGTTATATAAAGTGTCATTACTTCAATCCAAGTATACAATAATTATATATTTGCAATATTAAAAAATTTCAATTAATATTTTTTCAAGCTCTAAATATAGAGAGTTTTTAAGAAGAAATCAAAAAGTCAAATGAAGTTTGTTTCATAAAAGTTTTTGATTTTTTTTTAAATTTTAACAAATAATTGTAGACATTGTAGACATGTTAGTTTGAAAGCAACAAACTTGATTCATAATCACAAAATAAGATAGCAGTCAATTTCTACAAAATAATAGGATCACTTAAGTTAGGACTTGAATCAATTTTATTTTTAATAACAAATATCTACAACTGACATAAAAAAACAACTCACATGAAAAAACTTCATTTATCTTTTTGGTTTCTCCTTACAAGCTCTTCATATTCATATTCTATTTTTTTTGCGCACAAGGTACAAGAAAATGGAAGGTTCTCAACATGAATCCTATTTATATATAACAAGCAAAAGAAATTATGAAGAATTAATTTTCTTCGAAAAATTTAAAATAAATATTTTAACAAGTATAAATAAGTCTATCCGTTGACCCACTGTATATATATAGTTATTTTCAAGTCGTATGTCGAGGGTGGGTCACATAAAACCTTGCAAAAACATTGTTTTTTTAACACAACCTTGTTATATTGAGTTGACGATTTATTAAATAACGTCAAGTTGACAATTTGCATTGTATCATTGTGTCATTTTTTTAATTAAGGTAAATTCATACAAAATTGGGCGATTTTGGTTTGTAGATTTTTCCAAATATATGCTTTGGTAAAATTATTTTGAGAACTTTCTAGATGTAATTTAAATTTTATACAAATTTGTGTAATTGAAAGTGGTAGAGTGCAATTAATATCTCATGGCGGATGACCTTGGGTGCGAAAAAGTCTCAAATCCGTCAAATCGCGCTATTACTCGCAGATCTAAAAACATACTACATAGGGTAAACAATGCTGATATTTATTGACATATTTAGAAGAATTTCTGGGCTAGTAATTATATTATATTTGTTATAATAATATAGCGTCTCTCAAGGTCAACCGCCATGAGATATTAATATCACTCTAATTTTATTTTGTCCATTACTTTATTAAGAATGTCAACTATAAATATAGCAATAAAAAACATGTTTGTACTATGCTCCACGCATCCAAGTCCCACCACGGGACTTTGATAGAAATAATTAAGGTTAATTTTCTGTCAGCGTTAAGCTAATTCCGTCCTATATTTAAAAATAATGCAATATATATTTCATTATTTTTAAATAATAGGACGAAAGTAGCTTAACACTAAAAAAAATAACTATCAAAGTCACGTGGTGGGACTTTGATCATAACCTATTTCCGTTGATATACAAGGTGTTATTTAAAAAGTGTCCGATATTTCACTTTCTAAGATATTCATAAGAAAGTGTGCTTAAAAACGCTTCGTTTCCAAGATACAGATTGTTAAATTTTATTTTTATTTTAACTTCTTAGCCATTTCTCTTATTTTTTAAGAAAAGCCAACTAAATTTTAATTACTTAATAATTTTTACAATATCCACAACACAGGCCATGATACGTTTTACCCCCCAAGCTTTTTTTACGGTAAAACTGACTATTTTTTTAATTAACTTTCGAGTCCCCTTAGAAACTTTATGATATCTTGTACTTTTTTCTAAGTATCACTGTATCCAAATTATTTACCAAAATATACATTTATGCATGTACAAAACTAATACAATTCAATTCAAAATGTAAAATATCAGCTAGAGTAATGTATACATTATAATAACCTATAATAAGGCAATATTTTAAATTAAATAAACTTTTATTTTTGGGGTACAGTACTATGTAAACAGTTTTTCAAAAAATGGTTAATTTAACCAATGCCGAGCTTGCTAACATACATTATATACTGGCTTGTAAATGTAAATGCATATGAGGCTAAACTGGAAAGTTATCCAAACTACAGAACTTCTACTTCAAAAACATTTTCAAATAGGTATCACCCTTCGGTTAAGGGAAGGCAAGTTCATATTCAACAGTAATAAGGGTGTGTTGTAAGAATGTGTGTAAGAATTATTTAAGCATAGAAAATTTCGTTCCCTTTTAAAAAAAAAAAATGAGAGAAAAATGGCTAAAAAATAAAATAAATCTTAGAAACGAACGTTTTGACCACATCTTTATATTAATATTTTCTTAGAAATAGTTGATGAATTGCCCTGTGAAATTTCGGACACTTTATATGAAGTTCACTAAAGATAAAAAATATTTTAATTTTTTAGATTTTTAAATGTTTGTGCCACAAATAATGATAAGCAAGGAAAATTTACTAAAACCATGGCAGATTCAGATTTACCAAAATGGTTGATTAATATTAGACATGATGTTGCACATAATCACAAGCTTCCTGACTTGAATATTTTGGATTTGGCCTTAACTATTTGTTTCAATTGGGTCAAATATAATTATTGGGAAAGTCAAAAAGATAAAATAGTTGATTATATAGTTACAAATGTAGATTATCCATCCAGTATAGTGAATGTCTTTACCGTTTATGTTGATTTAATTTTAAAAGTGTATCATAATCAAGAACCTGAGACTTATAGTCAAGAGTTTTTAGACAAGGTTAATTTATGTATACCTAAACGTGTTAACTCAATAACATACAATCCCGTTGGAGTTGTCTGCTATTTGGAAAAGTTGTTACAAGATAAAGTAACAGTGGATAATGCCAAGTCAATTCGCAAAGTTTTTGCTCAATATTTAGTTTCTGAAAATACACTTCTCTCCAAAATTTATGAAAATAATGGTAAGATTATAGTCACTATAATATAGTGTACCTATATGAAATATAAAATACATACAAACATAATTTTAGATGAAGGGAAAAGATTTAGATATATGTGGAAAAACCTTTTGAATATTTTACATGAAAAGGATATGTTGTTTGATGTTATTAATCAGTTATTTGAAGAAACACACAATGCTTTGTTATGTAATGCAAGAAGAAGAACAGCAAGTTTATGGATAAATGAGTTATTTAAAGCATTAGTGAAAAGCAAAATGATTAAAAAAGAATTTGAAAGAATTTCAAATGTAAGTATGTACAGTTAATGCCGAGGGGTCAACCACTAGCCAGATATTTGTACACGTATTGCCGAACTGCCTATACTGCCAATTACTGCCTTTACTGCCTACTTACTGCCTATACTGCTTATATATCTTATACTGCCTTTAGTGCCTACTTACTGCTTATACTGCCTACTTATTGCTCTTACTGCCTATACTTCCTACTTACTGCCTAGTTACTTTCAACATTGCCTTTACTGCCCACACATAGTTTTACATATATGTATATTAAGTATGTCTTTACTTGTGAATTATGAATGTATGTTTATCAAAAAAAAAAACATCCGAATTTTAAGAATTTAATTTATTGTTCCTTTTTTACACTTTAAAACCTTAAAATATTTAAAGTTATTATATATTCTAATTCTTTACAATACTTACCAAACAACCACACACAGTTAAACTAATAAGCACAAACACACAAATAAGTTTGCAAAATTAAAACTGAGATACCTCGGAACGAGCATCGGAAGATACCAGAACGTACTCTCTTAAAATTCTACTATTTGAATTAGTACCAGCATTTTTTACTAATAAAATAGTCGTTTTCACTTTTAAATAGTTATTTTTGACTAATTTAAGGTTAGTCACCATCTTTGACTATTTCTGAGAGTTAAAAGTAACTAATTTCTTTAATCGTTTGCGGCCAACAAAGTATTATTTGAATTAAATGCATGCCTATAGGCTACATGGTTAAATGGCCCATAAAAACAAACAATGATGCAATAAGTTTAGCTCAAAACAGCAACACAAATAATATATTCAACTTTAAAATATTATGAACAATATTTATTGACAAATAAAATTAATTTTTATAAGAGCGGCTGATAGCCACATTGGTTATGACAACAACTTGACAAGCTTGACAAGTGACAGGCCTGAGTTCAATACCCGGCTGGGTCAAAACTTTTTTAAATTTAAATCTACTAATTTGACTATTTTATTCAGTATAATTTGACTAATTATTAGGGACTGCTTTTTCGCTATGACAATTTGTCAAATATAACTTATAATTTTTTATTTTTGACTGATTCATTTTCAGAGAGTAAGTTAGGTGAGACTTAAATGCTAAATATTACCGAATTACTGCCGATACTGCCCATGTACTGCCGAAGTACTGCATGTACTGCCGAAGTACTGCTCCCGTACTGCCTATATTGCCTATTTATTGCTGCATACTGCCGATACTGTAGAAGTATTGCCGTCACTGACTTTGTACTGCCTTTGTACTGCCTTTGTACTGCATAAAATTTGTGCACGTATTGCCGACAGTGGTTGACCCCTCGGTTAATGCGGCCCAAATGGTACGCTGCTTAGTTGTCATGGATTTATTTACTAAAAGTCTGGCTGTGGCCAGAAATATGTTGCATGTCAGGAATCTAAGAGCTCTTTCCAAGCATTTTCAATAAATTGCCAAAGTTGACCGCGGTTTGCCAGTCTAAAGTTTTTTGGGGGTTCAAGTCAGGACTTCTTGCTAGCCATGGCAAAACATTTGTTGACCCACTCTCTTTCTAATCAAGCCGTATGAACCGGAGAATTATCCTGTAATAACACCAACATTGAAGTTTCAAAATTGGAGGTATTGTCTTTTTTCTGACGAGTCAAGATTCCGTTTGTATATGTGCAGTGGCGGCTGGTGATTTTTGGGTATACTGATATCTTAATTAGTTATGGGACCCACACCAAATTTGAGTTTATAATAACATTAAATAAACAAGTTCTGCGCAAACAGAATTTAAATTAAAGTTTGCGAAAAAAAGATAACTTTTTGCTTGGCCGTACCGGCCCCATGGCACCCCCAATAAATATAATATAAATTTAATTTGTGCAATTTATTATTTACTATAGTTTATCGACAAATTTTATTTAAAAAATCCAAGTTGAACAAATTTTATACCATTTTAAATTTTTAATATTTCATTTTAAAGAAATAATAAAAATTTAAAATGATATAAAATTTGTATGATTTGGATTTTTTTAATAAAATTTAAAATTTGTCGATAAACTATAGTTTATCGACACCATATATGGTAAATAATAAATTGCACCAATAAAATTTATATATTTATTGGGGGCGCCATGGGGCAGGTACGGCCAAGCAAAAAGTTATCTTTTTTTCGCAAACTTCAATTTAAATTCTGCTTGCGCAGAACTTGTTTATTTAATGTCATTATAAACCCATATAAATTTGGTGTGGGTCCCATATCTAATAATTGAGAAATCGATATACCCAAAAATCACCAGCCGCCACTGCACATATACAAACGGAATCTTGACTCGTCAGAAAAAAGACAATACCTCCAATTTTGAAACTTCAATGTTGGTGTTATTACAGGATAATTCTCCGGTTCATACGGCTTGATTAGAAAGAGAGTGTATACGTGTGTTGGTCGAAGATTGGTATGGAACGAAAGAGGACAGGGATACAACGAAAATTTCATGGCACCAACCGCTCCTTTTGGTGAACGATTTCAATTGGTATGAATTGGAACATCATTTTTACATATAACTAATATTTTAATCGGGCTGAATTAATTCAAATTGCAAAGTTATTTTCCAATTTAGCCCAATTGAAATTATTTATATTAAAACCGATTAAAATATGAGTTCAATAATTTCAAAATTATTTTCAAATTCATATAAATTAAAATTATAAAATCAAACGCCGTTTAAGTTAGTATCTCTATTTAAAGTATTAAAAATAAATTATAGTATACCGTAACCACGATACACAAACAACGGTATGCTGCAGCATGATGCGCATGTTATGATACAGGCCGCGCGTTATAACTTGTCGAGAACGCCCTATGCTCAGTTGACGTAATTTCGGAATGGTACCGCCCTTCAAGTTCAGTTTAACACGTGTTTGGCAAAGCAGTGGCGCGTATTCAATATTTACTTTTCATTTTTTTTGCTATTTGTTCAATTTTAGTAAACAAGTGCCAACGGGTACGTCCACATGCTTCGAGCTTCGCCAAGTTATAACGCGCGGCCTGTAACTTATGTGATATCATGTGCGAAGTTAAAGCTGCAAAATCACGTTTTATTCCCAAATTTATAAATATATAGACGTTCTGCTTTACCTTGTAAATATAATAATTAGTTCTTGCTGGGCAACAAAGAACAACTTTTAGAAAAAAGTGGTAAAACATCCGTACGTGGCTTCCCAGACACCAATATGAAGTCTGTAAGAATTCTTGTAGAGCTCTTAATTAAGATTTAGACGTCTTAATTTTCTTCAAAATGAAGTCTTCAAGACGTCTTGAGGACGTCGGATGCGCCACCACAAGAGCTAATTAAGACTTCTTGAAGGATTCTAAAAGAGCTCTAAACGAGTTCTTGAAGAAGACAGAATTAAGAGCTCTTTTTGAATTCATAAAAAGAATTCTTGTAGAAGACAGAATTAAGAGCTCTTTATGACTTCATATAGTTTTGTTTTCATGAATTATTCTTTTATGCAATTAGTTTTAATTAGGTATAATGACTTCATAATTATTTAGCCATTAAAGAAAATTTCAAAATCTTAGAAATATGATATATATATATATATATATATATATATATATATATATATATTATGAAGTCATTATAATTAAAATTAATTAATTGTATAATAGAATAATTTATAGAAACAAAATTATATAAATCAAAAATTTATAGGACTCCTAGTAGAAAAAGATAATTTTATATTATGTAGCACCCCTGGCAGACAATTTAAAACAATAATTTTATATTAATATTTTATTTATTAAAATACATTGCATTTTATTTAATCTAAAGTATTCTTTAAACTTTTAAATGATTTTCAATTAAAACATTAACATATTTTAATAAACCACTTTAATATAATATTGCGAATAAAAAAGCATTCCTAGTTTTCTTTCCTGAAGAGGATAACATATGTTAGCAATACCAAATCGTCATATTCTTCCTCTTCAAGAAACAAAGCTGGCAATGCTTTTTTATTCTCCATAATATACGTACATGCAGACACTTAAGAGAAAACTAAATAAATAAATTAAATAACAATAATTTCCAATGGTGCATTCATATCAAGAAATAACATCCTATGATCATTATATTTATCCTCTTGAATACATTTCACTTATATGAAAATTAATCCATTCTTTTGCGCTAGAAAAAGTCTTCAAAATTGATTCTGTACATCGTTTTTTTAATATTCGATTTTTTTGACTTTTGGATAATTTGTTAAGTCTTTTTCTTAAAGACATGCTAAAAAATTTATTTAATTTATATAAAATAATCAATCATTAATATGCAGTGCATTCGATACCGGCGAAGCGAGTGGATGTGTAGTTCGAGCGCCCAGTGCCGATCCACAATAAAATTCTTAATGAAACATAACTATTATATACAGTGTAGTCGAGTAAAGTACGGTGCGAAACAGTGCTACTATTTTGGGTTACTATAGTATGTATACATACCTGTACAGGTGAAATCAGGGTACCTGTTCTCCGAGGGGTTAATAGAAACATTAAATAATTCCTCAAAAGGCAATCTCTCAACGGTGAACATAGGAGTGAGGTTCGTGCGGACACGAAGTAATAAAGTGACAGGGGACAGGTCAAGGAATCACCTATTTAAAGAAAAAACAAGTCTAACAAAGAGCGAAAGGGATCCTCACCATCACCAGCAGACTCTGATAAGTATTATTGCATGACCTAATACGCAAATCTGTAAAAAAAACCTGGCAACAATTAATCATTGCCGAAAACAGCGTACGTGTGTGATAAGGGATCAAGCAGGAACGTCGCAATATTATATTATTGTATTATATATATTGTATAATATACGCAACTTGCAGCTCAGCCACAAGGCAAAGCTTGAAGGAAGGCGAAGGTAAATAAACAAAGCGCCCACGCTAATAACGTAAATAAACCATCTATTGAAGCATATATGCGTATACGTTACTCGCCTGACACTGGGACCGTATTTCAGATTTTAATGCGATGCACCACAGTAGTTTTAAATAAATTTGGAAAAAAGTAAGAACGCAAAGACACAAATTAAATAATAATAAACGGTTTAAACACTAATTTAACAACAAAATAAATAGTTCACCAACAAGGACAGGTTCTAGCATCGTACAAACACCCCGGCTCAAAAATACAAGAACAGCACAGAAGAAAGAAGAACGACCAATAGCCAATGCAGACCATGGTGGCATTCCACCACATACACTACAGGGCCGGCTTTATCGATTTTGTATATTAATATTTATATTTTTAAATTAAATTTGGAAAAAAAGTAAGAATGCAAAGATATAAATTAAATGAAAACGGTATAAACACTAATTTAGCAATAAAATAAATAAAGAGTATACAAGGTTGGTAGCCGGAGTAAACAAAGAACTAACATACCCACCCCCATTCACGAATACCAATTGAATGGGGTTACTACTAAGGCCTAGGTTGAGGAGGATTCCGGATTGTACTTAGTTTTGGGTCAGTTCAATGTCCTCCAAAAACCCTTCCTAAACTGGACGTATGGCCCGACCCGGCTGACAAAAATCCCGGGAGCGGCCTTAACCTTTGACACTGTCATCCACGACCTCCTAGGGTGGAACTACCAGCCGGCGTAAAACTTCGGATCCAACAAACACAGGTAATGCTGTGATTTGGCGGGATACGCAGGAGAACGGAAAGGGGGTATATAGCCCCGGGAGATTAGAGGATGATAATATATCTGGGGCCTGCCATACGTTCCCATACTCATACTCATACTCATAATCAATCATTAATATATATGAATACGTCACCTGTTAAATAGACTGATGTATCAAACAAATAATTTAGAATCTAAAGTAAGTTAAATTATAAATTAATTACCACTTGAATTTTCGAAACAAAGTAAAGGTGGTAAAAACCAAAGAAAAAGATAAGAACGTATTTTTTAGGTTATAATACACCATACGCCGTGTTGCCAACAGGGTTAACCCTGTAAAGTCAGAAAGAAGACTTCTTGCGGAGCTCGTTTTACGAAGTCTGAAAAAATGAGGTCGTGAAGACGTCATATTTGGACTTCTTAAAGACGTCTTTATAAATAATCAAAAAGACTTCTTCACGAAGTCTTTCTGACTTGTATGCTGTCTATAATTATTTCTCGAAAATAGTTATAAACACAATAATTGCAAAAACTCAACGGAAAACACCGGTGCATTTGCAAAACGTTTAAATCTGATCGCCACATGCGCGGATCTGACGAGTTTTTTTATTCATAACCAGCACCGATGACAGTGTTTGTGTATCGTGGCCGTGACAGCAAACTTAGCGGTGCCAATAAGCGAGCTCGTGAGATAAAAATAAAAAATGGCGTATGAAAACAAATGTACCCGACAAACAATAGTCCGTCGGCTGCATGGCCTCAATTGGTTCGATAATTTCAAAATGATATTTTAATTCACACCAATTGAAATTGACAAAATAAAACGCTGATTCAAGTCAATTGAAACTATTTTCCAATTAATCTCGATTAAAAGTAAGGAAATAAACCGGATTGAAATATTAGTTCAATAATTTTAAAATTATTTTTTAATTCATACAAAGTTGGTATTACCAACTAAAATTAACAAAATCGAACGTTGCGTCGATTCAAACCGGTTAATATCTTAGTTTAATAAAAACGATTGAAATCTTAGTTCAACAATTTCAAAATTATTTTCCAATTCATACAAATCGAACTCCAATTAAAACCGATTGAAATTTTAGTTCAATAGTTTTAAAATTATTTTCCAATTGGAATTATTTTGCACCAATTGAAATTGAACGTCGATCGATTAAAACTGATTGAAACCTAATATTTGTCAGATTCAGACCGATTGAAAGAAATAATTATTTTCGATAAATAATTGAAATAATATTTTTCATTTTGATTTAATATAATTGTAAACGATTCATCCCAATACAAAAACACAATTCATAATAATAAAACGATTTCGCAATAGGGATTTAATTATTTTTAATCGTACTGTATCGTTATCTTTAAGCAGGGTAATGTTATTCTTGATATGTTGTAAGATGTTAAATTTTGAAGAGAGCACTGTCGTTATTGTCACTGATACCTTGAAGGTATTACCTTCCCTGCACCTTACCTTACCGTTTATTGATGAGAAATATGCAGCTTTTACTGATATTTTAATCAGCAGCCCCTTCACTTGAAGGCCGATTTTCTATTAATCAGCACTTGATTTTTTCTTGCTCATATGTTAATAAAATTATCTAATGAATTAACTGTTTTTGTTATTCTATATTCTTTTTTTATCGCACATTTTCTGTCGATTCGGCAAAACAGCACTAATAAAACTAATATGTTTCTGTTCTCAATATTCTCCCCGATCTTTGTTACACCACTGGCCACAGCCAGACTTATGGAAATAAATTTCAGTAGAAAATTTCATGGCAACCAAACGTTAACATTTAGGTTGCGCCCACTGTACCTACATAATATAGACGAATATACAGTGTGACCCCTTTGTTTGCGACTCACCCCTGTAAAATCATTAATTATTGTGCGATTTTAACCGGATTTGTTTTGATCTTGATAAACTGTATTTTTGGAGCAAAAAGGCCATATTTGTAAAAAATACAAATATGAATTCTTAAAAATTTACTCTTAAAAACTGACATAGTAGTAGACATTTAGTAAAAATATGGCGTTTTTGCTCCAAAAACAGTTTATCAAGATCTAACCTTTGAAACAAATCTGGTAAAAATCACTGTATATAACATTTTTTATAAATTATTTTAAAATTGTTGTAAAACTTTTAGGATTATAGTCAGTTGGATGCAAAAACGGGTAAAATCGTGTTAAAAACATTTGTTGACAAAAACCCCCATTTAAAAGACACTCTTGACCTAGAAATAAACAATTTTCCAAATTCAGAAGGTGAAGAGTTTTTGGAAAAAATAACAGAAAATCCAGATGAATATACTAAAATATATTTGGATAGGTATTTTCGTTTATTATATTTTTATTAAAAATGTAATTAAACATTTTTAGTGTTCTTCTATTCAATGGAAAATCCCAACTCTTTAATAAACATACAAATAAATTATTAGATGCATACAATATAGCAAAGATCCCACAAGGCAGTCAAGTAATATATAATCTAGATTCATTAAGTAATCTCATGGTGGATTTAGAAACTACTATGGATTTTAATAATGAAATAAACAATATTAATGGATCTACAAGTACAAATTCATTCTTAAAATGGACACCTGTTAGTAGTAAGTATACTTGATTAATATTTTTAATTTATTCTTAAATTTAATATTTAATTTAGATCCTGGAAGTTTTACTGGATTGCCTTTGGGAGTGTTACCAACACAAAACAGATTAACAAATCCGTTACTTATGTTTTAAAATAAATATTATACTTAATTTTTTATTCCTTTATTTGGCCCAAAATGTACCTATTATGAATAAATTATAAAAAATATAAAATACAACAATACAATAAATGTAACAAAAATATATATGTAAATAACTAAAAACATTGGAATTAAGTTATAATGGTTCAAATTGTCGAGTTTAATTTATTAAATAAAAAAAACATGCACCTTATGATTGTATAAAAATTAATTACTTATTTACAAATTTAATCATATTGGATAGTACATTAAAAGTGTACAACAGGTACCGTTTTCGTTTGAGCTAACACTGTTCTTAACGACTCGGACGTGTTGAGTCCCCATGCGTCCAAAGGAATGCGATTCATACAAGCAATTCTAAAAATAAATGATTTTAAAATTTTAAATACATTAAATAATAAGTTGCGTGAACAATGACATATTATACATTCCTTGACTCAAACTAAGTTGATTTAGCGCAATATCCAGTTGCTTTGTTTAGCCACTTGAAAAAGCGTCAGTCAATTTTGATAATTTTTTAAGGTGTACCACCGTATGATCTACGGACTCCCAGGAATCCCAGAAAATTGTTTAAAATAATCTTACCTTCGTTATTTAGGGAGCGTTCAAGTATTACGTAACGCAATTTTTGGAGATTTTTAAATTGTGCAATCTGGATTGGCGATTTGGCAACGGTGTTGTATTTGTCAAAAAACCACAAAAAACTGTAAATCGTAAATTCAAATCGATTGACAACCATAGAGAAACAAACCATGTTGACAAACTAAAATTTAAATTTTGTTATATGCCTAATATACAATAATTTTTATATAGAAAAAATGTAAGGATCATCCTTAGTTTGCCTATAAAATGGGAGACCAGAATTCCTAACTATTCACCAGCGGTAAAAGAAAATCTAATGATGATTGCTATGAGGTATTCTAAAATATTGGAAGACAAAAAAACTAACAGAACTGGGCATCCATATTCAATTTCATTAAGAAAGTTTAGAACGGTGGGTTTAGTCAATCGAAATCGGCGAAAAAAAGAAAAATTGTCCATGGTGTCAAAATATTCGCTCCTTTCATAATTTCTTCGCGGAAATCCAAAATTAATTATGTCCAGAATATCATCCTCTACAAATAGCTCTTCTTTTAAATCCATGATTTAATTATACTAGTTCTTGAAATCCACTACAACGAAAGCCCAATCCTAACCAAACTAATCAATTTGGTTAGAAAATTAGTTAATCCTGCGATTAAACCTACCTCGCCGGTGGATCTCGTAATCGAACACCTAAACTACATTTTTCGCGCGGTGCATGACAAACTTACTAACTAAGCCAGGGATTTCCTGGTCACCCTAAGCAAACCCAAATCCATCTGGCTTCTAGGTAGGAGCCGAACCTCCTTGGGCCCACTTGTGAACATACTCACGGGTCATGGCCTAAGGAAACACCTCACGAGAATAGGGGCTGAAACCAGCTCCTCCTGTACCCAATGCGGAAGGGAGGATGAAACCTCCTTTCACTTCCTGGGACAATGTGAGGCCCTCGGCAGACTAAGGTATAAAATCTTTGGAGTGATGACACTCCAAAGGGAAGAGTTGGCCTCTCTTGCCTGGCAGGATATCCTGACCTTTATAAGGTCTGGAAGATTCGAAAGGGCTGGTATGGGCGAAGAGGAGGATGAGGAGTAGTTTGGTTGGTTTAGGAGGGGCAGATAAAAAGGACCATAGAGTCTAATTGTCAGGCTTCGAGCCTACCCAACCGTACTACTACTACTACTACTAAGCGATATTAAACTCTTAATCGAGCACAAGTCCATATGGGCATGACACACACAGGCTAAGTGACTTGCATTTTTTAAGCATTCTCCAAAAATAACATACATCCTCAGTAAGTATTACTCAATAAAGAAATACATATAAATATTTAACAGAAATGCTATCATTGTTTCGCGTAAATACTATAGTCGAAACGGCGAAAGTTTTACATTGCGTCATCAATTTAAAATGTCAAAACCCTTTTTTTCGACATAAGTTAAGTCGGTCATATTGTATTGTGGGTGGCCTAATTATCGGGCGACATTTTGAGTAAGAAGTAAACTTTGCATTGGTTTTTTAAATGAAATGCCATTGTCTATGGTGTGATGTGAACAGATAGCAATTAATTAACCAATTATTGTACATCATGTTGCCAAATGCATGGGTATTGTTAGAGTAAAAATTATCATAAAATGAAACAATAATTCCTAATACAACCATTGATTGAAAATTCTGTACATTAGACCTAATCTATATAATACGACTTAAAAGAATACAATTAAGGTAAACCTATTATTTTTAAGTTTAAAAACTCAATGTTTAAGCTCTCATATCTATTTAACTTTTTAAATAATGAAGACTGAAGTTTTAACAATTTTCTGGGATTCCTGGGGGTTTGTAGATCATTCATGTGAATTTTGGAACATCCTGTATAAGTTTTAATATTGAAAAGTTTGAAAACAAATACCTTTCAAATTGGCAAATTTAAAAGAATATGACCACCCCTTGATCTTAAAATTGCATTATGGAAGGTTGTGCTTATTATTTGAGTGGCGTAATTTGGGTGTGGCAGTTGCCCCCTCCCAGAATTGTTTAACCCAATATTTTGCCACCCCAGAATTTTAAAGTAAAATAATATTTTTTAAATATCAATAATTTACAAACAATTGTTAAATAAACGTCCCTGTTAGCTTGTTTGGCTATCAAAAGGAGTGTTGATAAGTATAGATATTTCCAAAGTAATTGACAACTTTAATTCAAGGCAAAACAGAAGACTTAATTTTGTATAAAAATACCTGTGATAATGTGATGGCTTTGTTATCTATGATGACATTAAGTAAAAGTTAAATAAAGCTTTGTTTTATATGATGTTTGCTACATTTTTGCTTACATGTCTATTTTTAATTGATTGAGTGCTCTAGAGCACTTAAAATTAAATTAAAATTAAAAATAGGCCTACTCTTAAGTTGTGTAAATAATACTTTAGAAATGTTTTGGCTAATAATTTAAATGATTAACAATGAATCCTTAAGGGTAAGCCATTATTTAAAATAAAAATAGTCTGAAAAAGCTTCAAAAACTAACAATTTAATTCTAGTTTTTTTTAAATTTCCCTGGGAAGACCACTGGACACCCCTTACACATACCTCCTAAACCCCCGGTATATACCGCCATATATGTCTTGCCACCCAAGTTAAAAAGTTGAAATTACGCCTATTGACAGAAGTATCCCTTAAAACCCAATTGACACAAATTTTGATCAAAATTTATACAAACCGTTTGAAAATTTGCAAAGCCTTTGCATAAAATTTGTATCGTAACATTTGTTTTGCATATTTGTGTAAAATTTGTCTTAATAAAATTATTATCTGATTATCTAATTAAATTGATTTCAAAAATTATGAATTTAGAAATAAGAAAATTATTTTAGAGAAAAAAATAATAAAAAAGTAAGAAAGAATTGAACCTACACCTGGACAGTTTTTAGTTTTGAGTGCGTTCCACCAACTTCAAATACCGACAGACAGCTGTTTCGACCTATATTGGGTCTCATCAGTGTCGGGCAACTTGGTGTAGTGGAACACACCCAAAACAAAGGACTACCAGAGCTTATACATATACTGCGTTAATCTGACCATAAAATAAAACTTTTTTTCTAAAATGGAGTATTTTTGACAACGAAAAAAATTACAAAAAAAAGTATTCCGGTAATCAAACCCTAGTCTAGTAGGTTATAGCCAGGTATATCTACTAGACCATACGAGATAATCTTATTTTAACCCTTAATTACTTGTGCTGGTGTATTTTGTGCACCACTGTAGCACTTCTTGCGATAACACTACAAACGAAAAATTATTGACTGCATTCAAATCACTTTACAGTGAATTCAAGATTTGAGGTTCATAGGATATATAATATTATTATAACGAGAAATATATCTTATGAATGAATCATTTTACTTCATGTATTGTACATATTATGTAAATAATAAAAGGAATTTAAATACATTTTGTGCATATTTTTAATGCAAACTTTGTGTGTAAATATGGACACCACCTTAAACAAATGTTGTTTGTGTGTTCAAAGGGATGCAAGGCATTTAAGAAGGCGGTAATTGCAGGCACCTGTTGTTGCCGAAGTCTTAATTAATAATTTAATTACATAACAAAAACAAAATATAGTGTGTTGAAGTAATAAAATGTGTATTTACTTAGAATTATTATAATCTAACAACAGTGCCACGTATTATCTTGAAATGTAAATTAGTTGCCCGAGCGTTTAAGTGTTCTATAAGTATATTTAATTGTCCCTGAGTTACTCATAAAACCATATCAATAAGTTTAATTGCCCGAGCGTTTTATATTAAACTAATAAGGTTTTATCATAGCTCAGACGTGCTTGGTAGTAAAGTAAGTAAGTAAAGTAAGTATAATATAAAAACGCCTGGCAAAATTTTATATTAAACCAATTTACATTTTAAAATAGTACAATGTGGCTAAAAATATTGTGTATTATAACTAAATACATATTTCATTACTTCCACACAATATATTTTATTTTGTTAACAATAAATTGAGAATGTGGCTACAATGGACTGCGATCTTGCAATTAATGCTTTCTGGCATTTTCGGTAGTTTTGACAGTAGACATAAAAAGGTTTTCTTTGGGTTAGCCATTCTTTTGACAGAACCTGTCAGCTGTAACTAATTGAAGACATGTTTGATGCTGAACTGTTTTTTTGGTTGATAAAAATATAAATTATAGCTAAATTTAGGTTGCGCTTAAGCGCTTATTAAAACAAAATTTTATAAGAGACAAAATTCTAAAAACTAAGTTGACTATTTAAAAAAAAATTGCAGGTAATGCATTAACAGTAAAAAAAGATTGATTATTTTATTTAGTTTGACCCTTACTTATTTATAAGCCCACCAAATTGCTTGTGTGGGCTAGGGGTAGGCACAGACAGCAGTCTTGAAGTTCCCCCGAATGGACTAAATATACACAATGTGACACCCGCAAATAAACAACCTATATCAATATGACCTCCCCACCGTCAACGAATACTTATGAAAGGACACTTGAAAGTTTTTAAAAACGTTTGGTGTTGCACGAAAAGATTTGAATTTAATATATAAATTTATACTCAAAAAGGGTCTCAAATTTAGACTCTAAATCAATTAAGTTAATGGAAATACAAACATAATTCATTAAATAACCCTCTAGCGGTTAAACTAAGCAGCTTTGGATATAGGTAACACAAGTCAACATGACTTTTTTTTGTGCCAAGGATTCTAGTATTTCGTTGCACATGCATTTGCCAATACTCACCTTCCGCCTGAAATTGAATGCAAAAACTTCCAATAACTTGGTCTTAAATTTGTAGGTTCTAATATTGCAGCATGGAACAATATAGCTGTACTAAAGCAGTACAAAAATTCCGTAAATCCAGGGACTTTTGGCAAAACACCTTTTTCAATTCCAATGTTATAAGTAACCTATTGATTGAAAAAAGTATTAAAATATTTTTTTTTTGGTTTGTTGGTACATACCTGGGCAGCTTTCCACAATACGTAGAGTGATACTGTTGTATCTGGGTACCTTGTAAAAGCCATACCTGCAATTATTCCTGCTGGTATGGCATGTTTAGGATCATCTTTTCCTGATATTCTTCTTAAAATACAAGAAACAGACTAAAAAAATATTAATTTAAATATTTCAAAAATTATGTATAAGGGATAATAATACAAAACTTACTCTAAATAAACCTGAAAAAGCGCCCAAAAACGAGGCTAGATTCAAGGTTTCTTTTTTCCAAATTATTCGTTTTACATTTGCTGGAGACTGGAATATGCTCTTCATATTTAATAAAAGTTTTAGTGATATTTGTATACCCAGGCCTATACTAAACATTTTTCCAGCACCCTAAAATTTAATTTTAACAGTATTCAGTATTTTTTGACTTATCTTGACAATAACTGATTCAAATACATTATTTATAAATTCTTTTAATACCTGCATGCAATAATAATAATTATTTATTTATGTCATTAGGCCAAGAAATGCTGAGCTCACAGTTATAACTTATAGTTCTGGACCGTAGCCAGAGTGCTTCTGCTGCCAGGGCTATGGTCTTCATAGCCATCATAATATTACAGCTAATTCAAGCATTTATGTAAAGAAAATCCATTCCTGGACACCTTGTATTATACATATGCTGTATATTGGCATTTATTGCCAAATTGGCAACTTTTAAACCCAAAACCCTTTTTATTTGACTGAAATTTTAATACATTGTTTTAACACGCTAAAAATGTTTCTGTGTATCCAAATTTAAAACTGTTTTACCCAACGGAAATTTAAATATATTTGTATTCCCATCCTATAAAATGTTTCAGTTTTTCAGAAAACGACATTTTTTATTTGTTTTTATTTGTTTAAACTTTAATTTATTCTGCTTCAATGCCGCAATTCCCATGGTAGGCCAACTTTTCTTTCTGTTTTTTTTTTAATTGAAAAATTTTTTGGATTTTTTTCTCAATCAAAGTTTGTTTTTATAATAAAATAAATCTAAATAAATATAAAAAAATAGAAAGAAAAGTTGGCCCAATATGGATTTAAAAAATTAACCTAAAAGTTTTAGTTTTATAAAAGGGATAGTTTTTATTGTACAGGGAGACAATTATTTCTTAAACTAAAATTTTAAATTGGTTAAGATTCTCTGCCAGGGCGAAATTTTAGCCTGTCAGGGCGGCGCGCCGCGGCGCCCTGATTTACCACCCCCTGGCTACGTCCTTGACTTAGTTTCAAAGCAAAAGACACTTTAAGGCACAATTTTATTTTTTAAACGATACTTGAAACGTACGATTATGAAGAGTAGAAAGTAAGGTTAAATAGATCTGACAGATTTTGTTATTGCCCAAAATAGTAAATATGGTTATTTTTTATGCTAGATTGCGAAAGGCGATTATGCCAGCCCAAACGAACTTTTCTTTATTAGCTTGGCTATAATGACAATCAACGCGTTTGTTTTATTTATTATTTCAAAAAGTTGGTGAAAAACGCACCATTCACCAACCATTCCATAAAATTCTGAAAAAAAATGGGCAAATCTCATTAAAGATTAATTTGACACATGACCTTAAATTCAAAGACCCTTTTGGATCTCACACCGCAGAAAATTAAATAATGCAAAGCACGCATCACACGGCAAAAGTACCCAAAAGCTAGTTTGGGCTACCGAACGTGACTTGATAATAGCTTCATGTCTATCCTCCTGGGGTTTCTATAAAAATTCTTTAGCCAGAAAACAGTACGTATCTACTGTTTTCTGGCTAAACAATTTTTATTTTAAATAGGATGTATCTGTGATCGGACGAAGATATACCTCACTAGACACCGACGAAGATACCTCCCTAGACACCGACCAATCAAAAACAAGACAATTTTAGAAAATAAGAATCATACCAAACAGCAGAATTTCAGAGATAGGCTGAGATTGCTCGTGGATATCCACGGTATATACCTAAAAGTGGAGGTAGTTGAACCATTTATGACGGCAATGAAGCTCGATGATTTTTTTGCTAACCCCTCACTTTCCAGTTAAATTATGGGTATAGATAAAGAAGTTATTACGCGATTTGATGATATTACCCAGCTTATCTTGCGGGTATAAATAAAGTGCTCTTTTAGTTCCATCATTACTTCCTAAGAAGTCCCAGAAGCCAACTGAATGGCTTGTGCGGGTTAGGGGTAGGAACGGACCGCAGTCCCCTCCGAATATAGGATAAACGCAAATAAACAACCATACCAATGTGGGATCTAACCGACGACCTCTCGGCTTGTTGTCAGCAGCAAATCAAATAAAAATTTAATACAGTAGTCAGCAGCAGTGACAACTAGTCCACCGTCGGCGGTCGCAATCGATGTAAGAGTATGCTTATATGCTCGCTATTAGTTAGGTTAACTATTACGTTCATAGTAACGAATGTAACAGTCTTTTGGACTTGTTTTTCAGCGTATAATAGTTTTCTTATAATAAAACTTATTTGATCTTGGGAATATAAAGTCCTATATTTTTAAATTTATTGGCCAAACGTTTACAAAGACGAAAGGGCAATTCCCTGCCAAGTTTTGACCTGATATGGTTCTCTGGGCAATAAAACCAAACATTATTTTACGTAATTACCAAGCATGTATTTTTAAAATTAATTAAAAATAATAGCGGGACAAAATTTATACTTACTTGCATTGTATAATACAAACAGCTAAACGGATGGGGACACGCATGGTGTCTATCACAGCACTTGATTTTGTTAATTATTTTCTTATAAATAGATAACATTTGATTTACAATATGCAAAACAAAGTTTGTCTTGGGCCTGCTTCGTTGCCAACTCCCAGATCTTGATCTTCCATCGTTTTGTTCTTGTTGACGGTAAAAACTATTTGCTTGACTAGAACGACTGCTTGTATAGTCTTTTTCTTCATACGGACCAATAACAAACCTTAAAAAAACAATACTTTAGTTTGTATTTTAAGAATTAATTAAAGATCCCTAAAATTTGTATGGTTGTAAAGGTTTAATTAAATTATAGGAGTTTCACAATTTTGTAATAATTTAGGTACAACACACCTGAGAGTTATTTTGACGTACAACCTCATTAAAGTAAGCAATGGTGAAATATTTATTTATCATGACATCAAGATTAATTTTACGTCAAAATATTTATTTAATTATTATCAAAATTACAAGTGCTAGAAGTTTTTTTTTATCATATACGTATCCTTAAATTAAATTTACGTGAAAGTGCATCCATGATCAGTTGTTAAAATTATATGAACAATATCAGCTTCTTTAAAAAAGTGTAAACAGAGAGTCAAATAATATTAAAGAGGATGAATTTAAATCTTCATTGTTGAATTTATTTGACATTGCCCATGCGAATGCTGATTCAACAAAGGAAAGATGGTAGAGTAGGCTACATAGCCAACATTGAGCACAGAGAATCAAGGATGAGATACTACAGCTACGTCAAGAAAAATCGGAGAGAGAAAAAGCTCGAATTGGTAAAATTGATTTTAAAATACTTTATAAAATTTAATCTAATAATGAAATATATGATTGCATGTTAACTTCAATAACAAATTGTAATTTTTATGTTTTTTATGTTTATTAAATAGATGAATTCATGGAATTTACATCAAGCAGTGAAGGCGAAGGAGTAGATAAGTTGAGTCAAAAAACAATATCATCAGTTTTGAATTTTTCCGATGAACTGGAAACTATTCCACACTAAGAATCAACACAATGACGTGAAACTATAAATATCATAGATGATAAATTAGTTGCAGTCTTCGATCATTGTAAATTAAGTGACCGCAACGCTGTACGTTTGACTGTAGCTTTATGTTCATCATTAAATATCGACGCAAACTCATTAATAGTAAATAAATCATCAATTCGCAGAATCAGAGAGAAATTACGCGAAGAAAAAGTAAAAGAAATCAAAGGAATTTTCAAAAACCCAGACTTGAATGCTAGTGTCCAGTGTTTCCATTGGTATGGAAAAATTTTAAAAACTTCAACTGGAGAAACTAGAGAACGATTACTAGTTGTATTAAGTTGTGGAAAAATTGAAAAAATATTAGCAATTCCAGTACTAGATGAGGGTACAGGACAGTCTCAAGTTGATGCATTGGGGTATTTCTAACTGTATTAAAGCTCTTTGCTGTGATACTACACCTGCAAATCTGGGGCCAAATAAAGGAGCTGCCGTCGTACTTGAACAGTTGCTTGAAGAAAATTTACTGTATTTGCCTTCCAGGCATCAATGTTTGATGTTTAATCGTCAATTAAACAAATTTAATATCTAATACTTTCCAAAATTTTATATTTAATATTTTTTAATTATTTTAATTTTTATATTTTAATAATTCAATATTTCGACGCGGTGACCGACCTAAAGGTGCTGGGCCTACAAAACCAGTACCCAATTAATCGGTCATCGCCGTTAAAACTGCATATTTGAACATCGTTTAAATTATCTATTTGCTACATCACATTAGATTTATGTATAAATAGGAATTAATTTAATAAAACTTTATCTTTCAACCACAACCTGCCTATCATTCACATCTACCTACTACCCTCAACATTCCCTAAACTCTACAAGAGTTTACATGTTCTAAGGGATGTTTTTGAATTAAAAATACCTGGAACTTCAGGTCTTCAATCTTCAAAAGATTTTGAGATAATTGGACGAAAATCAATATAAGTCAATATTCTACTGGCATTGAAGAATCTTATGTGAAAAACAAATTACACAACCACATTGAAGATATCAATCAATTCATACAAAAGCAACTTGATTCTAAACAACCGAGAGAAGACTACAAAGATTTTACTACTTGATTTATTGGTAAAGTTCCTCGCATTAAAGTCAAATTTAGAAAACCGGGTGCATTCCATCACGCTAGGTGGATGTCAAAGGCAATATATAGTATAAAACTATTTTTATTTAAAGAACAATTTGAAATGACGGGAAAATTGAAAAAAACAATTTCAGAAATTTGCATTTTCATTGCTATAGTGTATATTAAAGCGTGGTTTACTTGTCTTCTGGCAACTGATCAGCTTCGAAGCTTCAAACAATGATTTATTATTTTTAAAAGAACCTATTGATTATGAATTGACGGATGCTGAAGTATCCCAAGTAGCGTTAAAAAAATTTAGCAAGCACTTGTATTTAAATACAGAAACTGCAGCTACGGTGTTCTTTGATGAAAAAGTATCACTAAATATTAAGAAGCAGATGGTGATTATGTTGAAAACTATTGACAAAGGTTCAGAAAAATGAAAATGTTTCGAAATTAAAAATATAAGAGACATATATAACTGGAACATTGCTTCGCTAATATCGTCAAGTTCACTACAGTTTTTTAAACGATTTGGAATAAATACAGATTTTTTGAGTCTAAATCCACGTGAATGGTTTAGAAATGAAGATTTGAAGAATGAAAAGGGTTTGAAGAAGAAGTTTAAAAGTAGTTAATGACATAACCAAGCGTGCAGTTAAACTAATTGAAGATTACCATAGTATACTAAGCAAGAATCCAGAGCAGCAACAATTTATTGTTTAATTTTTATCAGAATACAAGCATAATATTGCTTGTATTCTGATGCTCGGAAAACTTCAATCGTTGAGAATATGAACATTGATTAAGGTTAAGAATTCAAATGATATTATATTTCATCTGTACTTTTATTTTAAAATCTTATTAATTAATAATAATAATAATAATAATATAAGTCTTTATTAAAACATTTTACATTTTCAAACGGCGAAGTTCAGCGTGTTTGAAAGAAAACATCTGTTCTTCCACTTTCAGTTTTTTTAACTGACAAAACACGTATTGATATGAATTTCAAGGGAATTTTTGTTTATTAATTCAGACGCGTTTGAGCCCCTGGCAGCAAAGAAATTCAAAAACACCCCTGCTAAGGACCACCCTAATTAGGGTTAATTAATGTCCGTATATGAGGAGTGATTTTTCAAAAGGTCGTATTTCCATTCAAAAAAATGACTATAACCTGTATAGGTTAGGGCAATATAGATTATTTAAAAAAAAATTCTGATGAATGTTTAATGATACTTCAGACCTGCTGTCATATTTCGCCGTTAATATATGCCTTTTAACCATACCTTTGAGATTTTGTCAAAAAATTACATTCAAGTAAAAATGGAAATAAGGCCTTTTAAAAAATCACTCCTCATATATAAAAAAAGAAAAATATTAAACAATTAGCATATAAAATAAACAAGGGCTTATGGTGGATTTAAATAAAAAGTTTTAGTGAAAATTAAAAAGCTTTTTTTAATTTCCAGGCTGCAGCCTAATTTAAGTCCTAGTTTAGACACCCTTTATACATAAATATTTATATCAATTTTAGTGTATACCTTAAAACTCTAAACATAGAATCTTCATTTCCGCTCTTTTTATGATGGCCGCCCTTAAAATACATCAAAAGTAGGGCTATGCTGCTGCTAAAGATGGCAGCATCTCCGTATTTAATATTCTTGACGTAATTTCTGGACACTGCCATGTTCCAAACTGTTTCGGTGGCAACATTGCTTACGTACAAACATAGCAATGTTCTTCGTGACGGTCTTTCAATTAAAATGGAAAACACGCTAGCCAAAAAAGCCGGAATTGCAGATACTGTCAGGATGTTAAAGTTTCCCATTAATTTTCTAAAAACCAAAAAAAAAATTATCCAAAATAATATATGTGAGTCACAGACTGTGACCTGGATCGAGGAAATAAGGCGTTGGCTATCAAGAAAAATGGAAAACAGAAACCTAATTTCTTCTTTCCGGGTCAAATAAATTGAATATTTACCTTAGTGAACATAAAAATAATGAATATCCGAAGCCGGTACCACTTAAAAATGCAGTGGATTGTAAAATGCCATACAGGGTATGTTTAATATCGTTTTTAGTTGGTATACGTCCTTTCATTAACAATGTTAACTGTAACAAAAAAATATATATTAAATTTTATTACTACATAATATAAAATTATTTTAAACTTAAATGTTAAAATTCAATTGTCAATTGTTTTACAACATTTTGTATTTATTGTAATAAATCAGGCAACATTTCAATGATAGGTTTTCAATGCTTCACAGCTCTGTGCAGTGCTTTGAATTGATCGCAGTAATTCGAATTTTATAGATCTATTAGTAAGATTACATTTGAACTGTTTATGGAGTTTTTAAAATTGTAACGAGAGTTTCACTGACTCATTCTTTATACAGGGTGTCCCAGAAGTCGCGCACCACCTTAAAGGTTTATGATCTACAGACCCCCAGGAATCCAAGAAAATTGTTAAAAAAGTTCTACCTTTATTATTTAAAAAGATATGAAGGCGTAAATATTTAGTTTTAGCTTGTTTATAATGTTTAGTTAAGCCCAATGTACGGAATGGTTTCATTAGGAATTAATGTTTTATGAGAAAATGCATTTAAGGATTTTTACTTTAACAATACGCAGGCTTTTGTCAACTTGATGTGCCACAATTTATTATCACAACAATTAATTGGTTAATTAAATGTTTTCTGTTAACATCCATAGACCATAGACTATTAGTACAGTGATCTTAGTCAAAAAAAGGGATCAACCTCGGAATCTAACGGAATAAGCTGAATTTTTGAACAAACCTTTATTTTAGCATTACAAATGTTGTCTCAAAAGTCACATATGCCAACGGGTGAGCGGGCTTAGATATTTAAGGTCAAAGGTCGCAAAAATCAGTTTTCTGAGAATATCTCGTTTTCTCTCCCTCCTAGCGTATTTGCATTTATTATAAAAGTTGTAGAGCATAAATTTCTCTACAAGTTTTGTTTAAAACATTTTTTATACGTCTAATCGTTTTTGAGATAGAGGGCGCAGTGTGGAGCGCTCAGCCATACGTACCTTTTATTTTATTCTCTACAACTTTCATAATAATTGCAAATACGATAGGAGGCAGATAAAACGAGATATTCTCAAAAAATTGATTTTTCGACCTTTGACCTTGAATATCTAAGGCCGCTCACACGTTGGCATATATGCCAACGTGACTTTTGAGACAACATTTGTAATGCTAAAATAAAGGTTTGTACAAAAATTCAGCTTATTCCGTTAGATTCCGAGGTGAAATGCCTAGATGACTGGACTATATATCCAGGCACGGCGTTCTCTATCCCAGGCGAGAGTGTGGTAGTGGGAGGCGTGACGTCAGGAGGCCGACTGCAATGGCAAATTAATGTATAACTGCAGTAATACAAGACGGTTTCATATAAATTATCTATTGCTTTTCCATTGATATCGCTTGATTTAACGTTAATTTAATTATTGCATTAGTTTGCTGCTTTTATAACATTATAAATAAATAAAAAATACCAAGAAAATGTTGCGTTCCTAACAGGAAAATTAATGTATTATCGAGGTAATGCAAGACAGTTTCATATGAATTACTGATTGTCAAAGCCGGCCTGAGGTTTTTTGAACAGTTTTGCCGTCCCCTTTTTATTCAGCAGAAAAATTCTTTTGTCGACTATCAATTATTAAAATTATCTCTACTTTTAAAGAAGTATTGCTTGGGTTTCTTTTATTTATTGTACGGCCTAATAAAAGAAGAATATATTTAACAATTGTTTTCCTAAATACTATATTACCTACAATATTTTTTATAAAAACAGTTTTATGATTTGCCCATTTTTCATGCTTCAAAACGCCCTTTGACATTAGCCAAAAAGACTGGTTAATCTTATTATTTATAGCGCAATATAAATTATTCTATTGCGCTTATAAATTAATCCAATGTTGTATGTTTGTTTTAAATAAATTACTATTTTAAGAGCATACACAAAAAAATTAATTATTTACATTAAATAACCAACATTTTTATGGTTATAAGTACATACACAAAAATATTATAGGTAGGTACTCTTAATTCAAATCAAATATAAGTTTACTTTTTTATTATGTTTTGTTGCAAACTTGTTTTTTTAAATGAATACCTATATTAATTTATTTTAAGTAAACTTTAATATTTAAAAGAGTATAATTTCTATATTTAAAATACAAGAAAATTTAATTAGAGTAATTATTCATAATAGTAATAGATCAATTAAACGAATTTTTTTATAAAATTAAACTTAACAAAATTATTATTTCATATTCCATATTATAAAAATTAGACTATACTTATTTTAAATATAAAAATCCAAAAAAATCGTTATTTTAAAATTAAAGAATTATTATTTGTGTGCAGTTCTGTTTGTTTTAAATAAATTTCTATTTTAATAGCAGTTCTCTGTTTGTTTTTAATAAATTACTTAGTACATATTGTTCTGTTGCTTTGATAAAATATGTACTATGCATTGTCCACTACTTTGGTAAGAAATACTCCTTAAAAGCAATAATAATCCATAACTTTGGTTGCAAAGCAATGTAATACAATAGGCGGACGTTGATCAGATCGGCCTCCTGACGTCACAGTTTCGATGCAGGAGTGGGGGCTACACTCCCGCCTGGTTAGAGAACGCCGTGATCCAGGCGGTTTTGCTCAACATTATGCGAATAGATAGAAAAATCGTTGCTCGGAAGGAGCGGTGCACAATGCGCCCAAAGCTACCAAGCTTAGACCGTCGACTTACATGACTAAATGCCCCTTGCACCAGAGACAAGGGAGTCTCTGCCTTGCACGGTTGGTCAAGGTTTGGTTTTTGGTAACCTGCGCACAACCCTAATTTTGCTTTCTCGGTCAATGATTGTACACGTGCGACGTTCTTATATAAGAACGTCGCACGGATCCCATTCCATAATATTTATATTGAGTTGAAGCTACTGAATATAATATTCTTACCATAGACAATGACTGGCAGTTAAAATTCCAAATTGGATTCTATCATAGTATTTTTGTTAAATATTTATATATAACATTAATTCTATAGTGTAACGATGATGTAAGTGATGTAACGAACGTCGATTTTTTACTCGTCACGAATATTCGCGAATGCAAATGTCAACTTGCCGCCATTTTCTGCGTCCAAGTAAAATTTATAAATAAAAAAGCAGATATTTTTATTATTGTTTTTAAGTAAATATTAAAACTATTGCTTTTTTATAAAATTTGCAAAACATTCGCATCAATTTTGGGAATCCAAGAAAATCGTGCGAATATTCGCGAATGCTAATACGAATATTCACTAGTGAGTAGTACTCACTAAGTATTGTAATATGTTGTTGTGTTTGGAGAATACTTAAAAAATACATTAATATAATTAGCATAAATGTCATTTAGCGTGTGTGTGTGTGTGTGTGCCAATGTAATGTTAATCAGGCCAATTCACTAACATGAGTCGTTAACGTTAGCCATTAGAATCAGTGGTTATCGGCCATTCCAGCCAATCAGGCGGATTAAATAAATATATATATATATATATATATATATATATATATGAGTCGTTAACGTTAGCCACTAAAATTAGTGGTTATCGTTATAACGATAACCACTAATTTTAGTGGCTAACGTTAACGACTCATGTTAGTGAATTGGCCTGAATATTTGTTTCGTTTTTTAATAGGTATATGGTTTTATTAGTTCCTGACTCACTGTTTTTGTTATTGTCAAGTCTGACGTAGAATAAATAACCTCTAAAGCTAAATTTTCATGTATTCGTTTGTCCGTTATCCGTTTGTCCGTTTTTCAATAAAATCGTCCGACAAGAAATGTTTTAATTTTCATGCATCCATTCTTTAATGACGTTTAACGGATTGATTTGGCGACAAATAGAAATTAAGGGCGAGTATATTCACTTCACTAAATTTACCTAATGCTTAATTGTCATAGTTACAATTAAGTCAAGAATTGTTATCTGTCTAATAAATTTAAAGGTGGGTAAATATGCCATATAAAAGAACATACTAGCCTTAATATACATTAAATTGTATAGTTTTAAACAAAGACGTAACAGCCCAGACAGCACATAAATATATTCATTGGACGTCCAGCGGACGACCATTGTACATCCAAACGTCCAATGTAAGTCCATTTGACGTCCAATGGACATCTTGTGCTGTATGGGAGTAGTTCCTGTATACATTAACTCTTAACCCTTAAATTCCAATTTTTATTGTAAATTTATGTCAAATGAATATAATACACTATTTTAAGCATATTTAGGTGCGGAAAAACTAAACTCTTACTAAAATATATGTTTCTAGAGTTAAATTCAACAAACTTTGCTTAAAACTGTCACCTTTTCTATGTGCTACACTGAATTTTAGGAATTTAGGTTAAAATATTAGAAAACCAGTTTTAAAATGCGAAATGTTTTGCTATATATTTTTGGTCAAGAATTGGGAATGATATAATTGTATGGGATTTGAAATTGTATTGATAACAATTCTTTAAGTTCCCATGAGATTAATAATACTGAGGATGCTGATTCACAGAACATAAGCTGCTTAAATAAATTTAAATAGTTATATTCGATTCAAATTTTTAATCGAATATTTAAACTATTGGAATAATTTAAATGTTTCGAACAGTTTAAATAAAATAGAAAATGTTTAACAATAATAAAACTTGTTCACAAACGAAAAACACTAGGCTAATCTAAATCTAAAAATCCTAACCCTAAAGGAACAAAATTATTCCAAATTAAATTAAGGAGTGCAATGTATACATAGGTAAATGTAAATATCAATGTAAAACATTCCAAAACAGAAATAAAAAAGGTCCAAAAATCGTAAAAGCTCAAAACGAAGTAAACAATATAAAATAAAGCCAAACAGTAAACCAAAAATGGTTTGTTCTGTGACCAAAATGCTGAAAACATTTTTAAAAAATTAAAAAAATAATATTTCTTTTTATTATTAATACTTAAAAACAAAATTAATATAATTCTTTATAAATTTTGCGATATAACATATTTTTAAAATCTTTATAATAACGAAAATAATATTAGAATATAATTACA